ATGTTAACAAACACGTCGTTTAGAGTAAAGTGCAATGCTTTGATCAGAAGAACGCCTATGACAATATTTGTTTGACTGTAGACATTAAGCAAGCCTCTCAGTTGGCTATTTCTCTCTCATATGTTATATAGAGTTTTCCACACACCAATGTTTCAAAAGGGAAGTTTATATCATAACATGCGATCACTTTGTGTCAATTCCGAAAGTGTTTTCGGAGCATTTCTGTAATAACCTTCATCCCGAAACCATAAAATGATTCGTACCTTCGCAGGAGCTGCAGAAATGTCCACTGTTATTATTTTGATTTCACTGCTTTTAATGGTTACGTTTAGCGATAAAAATTATGCGTTACATCAACCTCCTAATAAATCTACATTTCAATCATGTATATTATATTAAGTAGAAAATGTATGGCATTTAGTTTTTTAAACATATGGAGGAAAATGGCGCATATCGTTATGATAAAAAATCGTTAGAGTTCAGTGTACATACCAATCAGACAACGTTCAGAATTAATTCACACCCAGTGTTTTTTCTTTCTCCTGAAAATATTTCGTAACGTATTCAACGAATCGCAAGAAAAAGAAGAGATTCTGTATTATTATATCTTTGAAACTGTTATCGTTGACCAATACAATGGCATTATCGTGAGTGTATGCTTGCTCAGTGTTACAAACAAATCTGAATTTAAATATATTTGAAAATTTATCAGAACACTGTTCCCTTCCTTGAATTTATGTATCAATCCCAGATTTATTTTCTGTGTAAAAAGTTCGCTATTTTGTCATGCACCTTATTAAAAGGAAAACCAACTACATTTTTAACTCATCCGTCAGAGAAAAATAAATCACGAAAACTCGTAGATAGGCTACCAAAGGCGATCTTATTTTGTGTCTAGGGGTATGAATTTAGAGATTTCTCTTAGGAAATTTCAGCAGTTTATTTTGTACGCTGATTTTGAGATTTCATTTTCTTTGTGAGTCTCATGTATTTCCGGTATATATATAATAGCATAACATATAAGATTATTTAATCTACTTCTGTTATTCGTGAGTTAAAAGGTAACAATTTTAATTCTGTTTCAGTGCCTTAAAATTATGAACGGAGTAGATTCACTATAAACGACTACATCTCTAAACTTAAGTAGCCTATAGAGAAAATACAGACGTAAAATCTCCGTTATCATCAATGTAAAGAATTTAATGAATATTTCCCAGGTTCGTGGCTTGTTAAGAAGTGTGATTGAAGAAATGAAGTGGATCTTTTGCTTCGTACGTGTTTTGTAATTTGTGGTGGCGCTGCTAGCAGGACCGTGTACGAAAATTAATGAAATGTAACAGAAGTCAAAGAAGCATGAACTGTTTGCTTTTTTGTCACATTTTGTACGGGCCTTTATATTATTAAATTTGTATTGATAGTACAAGTGCGAGCCATATAATTATTTATGTAAATAGAATATACGTGCACAAAATACACTGTCCAAATATCTGTACCATCAATTAAAATAATAACAAATCAAATTTAATAAATGTTATTTTTTAGATCGAAATCACTTTTAAACCTTATATGTATAAAACAAGTGACGACCAAAGGAAAAATATATCACACAAGTTGTTATCAGATATTCGTTTTTTGTTTTATTTTTTTGTTCTACAAACGGCGCACTGGAGACGGGTTTTTCACATTGCCCTCAATGCAAAATTGCTAGTTCCACCTTTCCTTGTGCCTCGCACTTGTAATCTGCATGAAGAGCTACATTTTCAAAGTGTTTTATTCTACCCCGAAGCCTAGGGCTACATGACTACGCGGCGTCACAAACCAGAAAACGACGACCCACATTTTTACCTTCATGAAAACCCTAAATCACTTTTACTTTTTCGAACAGTCTTTCCTGAATTATTGACTGACGGAAATTATTTCAGTATTCATGTTATAATTTAGCAAGTTATTCTTTGAAAGCAAATCACAAAGTAAAAATCAAAATACAAATAAACTTATAACATAATATTATTAATCCGTGGCGTAACAGCTCTCTGAGAGCCAAAGCCGACTAGCTTGACTGCTGGCCTCACGTTCACATGCCTAAGCAGAGGTGAACGATCATCCAACCAGATATAGGGTGACGTGTGGTCAGCGCGACGAACCCCCAGCCATTGCTAGTTTTCATGACCGGATTACGCTACTCATTGTAGCTCCCCAATTTCCTCACGATGCTGGGTTGGCACCGGTCCCATATACGGTCGAAAGCTCATGAGAAAATTTCTTTCACCGAGACTCGAACCAGCGCGCATTCCGTATCACCGGTCCGAAGCATGATGCCTCAGACCGCTCGACTACGGCGCGAGACTATAACAAATTAGGAAAACGAAAATTTAAAACCTTCCGTGTATGGAATTTATAAACATATTATAACAATGACATGAATTTGGTAATGCCATTTTGTTTCATTTCGACTTCGAACGATTTAAAAAATACATAGAATTCAATAAATATAATCGAAATATTTTTCTTCAGACTTAAAGGCATATACCATATTTGACACTTTCATAAATAATTAACAATATTAATTAATTTTTCAAAGATTTATTTTATGTTCAACAGTTCCCAGTTTCATTGAAGTGACGATCGCTGCGTTTCTGTTTGGCATCCGTCAATTTCTCTGCAATATCAGCCTCATTTAAGAGAAAACACAAAACTGATCGACCAGGAGTAACAAAGCCCTTCGAAGCAAACAGACTTCAAACCCCACAATTTCATATGTTGGTCAATTAAAAGGTGCCATTAAATGGTTCCACTGAGTATATTTATCACGAAAAACTTAAAATAAATGTGGGAATTAACAACACAATTTTCACATTCTGGCTATTGCGAAGGTTTTAAACCATCTGGTTATAACCAGAAATAAGGTTTGTCCATTATGTGCACAGTAGGCCAGTAGGCCTACGCCTAAATATGTACATGGATTTCATATATGAGAATCACGTTAAGTACCACTATTTTCTGCAGAGCCTCCTGTAGGTCTGCTGTTTGTATCTTAATTGCTATATTTAACTCCCTGTAACCAGTGGAACGAATGGAAAATTAGTATACATGAATTTATGTGGACAATGATGTTCAGTGCCACTTAATCACTATCTTCGTGTTAACATCGAAAGTTTAAAGCGAGCACAGTGAAATATGAAATGAATGCCCGTAGTAACTCTTAATCTGAAATGCCCAAAGTACTTTTCGATAACACCTGTAATCTTCTTTTCTAACTCCGTCCGCCTTCGAGTGCTTTCTGCTCATATATCAGAAGTAACTAGCCATCTCTCTACTTCGCTTCGTATTTCTTACCGTGTAATTCACCGAGGAGAAATGTACGATCGCATTTTATCTGCGTCATGATGAAGGAAAATTCGATAGACAGTTCACACTTTTTAAATTCTTCCTTGAAGCAGAGTCTTGATTCAAAGTAGTCGCTCAGATGATTAAAATGTTTCCCGCATTTTATGTAACCAGAAGGTTCATAAATGTGGTCTCTTTTCTAAGCCACCTGAATCCAGTTCACACCTCTCCGACTTATTCATAACACACATTATTACCCTCGAAAGGGCCCCTACTTCTTCCACGTGACTTCCTCCCATCTGACTTCGACTAAAATTGTGTGCGCATTTCTTCTCTCTCTCCAATGCTTGCTGCATGCCTCGCCCACCTAATCTCGTTCAATTGATACTCATGTTAATATTTGGTAAAGAATACAAATTATGAAGCTTCTCATTGTTATCATTTTTTCATTCTTTTGGTGTTGCTTCGTCCATCTTACGTCAGAGACTGTCCTAAGTACCCTGTTCTCAAATATTCTAAATCTAATTCCTTCCCTTAAAACCAGAGACCAAGTTTCACACGCATACAAAAGTCGTATAATTATAACTTTTCCTTTTTATACATTACGTTTTTAGACAGCAGACAAACTGCGTGGTAGCTATCATTTCCTGAATTTAATCTGTTTTTCATGGGTTCGTGAATGGCGTTCTTATTTGTTATTGTCGTTCCCAGACATTTGTACTCTGCCATATTTCCGGAGAATTTAAACTTTTTAATTCAACTAAACATAGTCTACATTTCGTCTAAGCCTATACAAAATGATATTCTGGAATTTGAATGGGGAAAACATGCGTAAACGTGAGGATAACATTACAAAGGATCACTGTAATGAAGTGAGGTTCATCTGGTTCAGAATACGGGCGAATGGTAAGTTCTAATAAACACTAATGAACTTTCGGGTTCCAGAAATGGCGGGTAAATGTTTTGGCAAACTGAGCGACTGTCGCTTCTCATGAAAGACTCTGCTCCATGAATTTGGTAAGGTGTATTCGTATTGAGTTGAAATAATACAAAACATGGCAAAGTGTATACTTCCTTAAATTTTCATAGATTTCTGTGCATCCGTCGTTGAAACTTCAATTGCAAACATTACGCTGATACGTACAACATACCCCAAGTTTTCTGTCTTCTGGGTTGTTGCGCTGTGTAGTCTGGTCGATGTTAACCAACGTTTTAGAGGTCATACTGTTTCCGTCATCAGGGCGATTAATATCACATATCATACTACACAGTGCAACAACCTAGAAGACAGAAATCTTCATACTCACCGCTGTGAAAACCTCAAATCTTACACACCCCAAGTTATTTCTGTTTTGTAGTTACAGCGTGTTTGCAGCTTGGCAGCACATTGACCTCGTAATCAAAATGAAGTTTTACGTTGTGCTATAAACGGCATAAACAATGTTCTATTTGCTTATGAATTTAGATAAATTGATTTATTTAAATATTTCTAAAAGTTATAGAAAATATTGCTCCCCGGTGACTACTGACATATCAATATAATAACTATTCAGTTGAAGATTTCTGTCTTCTGGGCTGTTGCGCCGTGTAGTGTGGTAGGTGTTTACCAACGTTTCGGAGGTCACACTGCCTCCGAAACGTTGGTAAACATCTACAAGACTACACGGCGCAACAGCCCAGAAGACAGAAATCTTCATACTCACCGCTGTGAAAACCTCAAATCATACAACTATTCAGTTTTCTGAAATCCAAGGGGCAGGACTTGAGCTGCCTTCTAAGCAATCCCATGTTATGGGCGGCGGGTAACATCTACAGTTGTCTCATGACATCATGCTCGGCGGTTGGAGGAGTCGAGGTCTGGAGTTTGTCGTGTCCGATTACGTCCACAGTGGTCTCGCTACCGGACGCCTCACTGGGACTTTCGCTGCGACGCGATGCTTTGGACCCACCTTCGTGTTTCACGTAATCCACGACTAGTTCCAAACCGATGAGGGCTCTGAGGTCCTTACAACGAGGCTTGTCCTCCCCGTTTTGTCCTCCAGTCGATGAGGACTTTTCGTCGTCCTGCTCACATGTTTCCTGGTGGCTCTTCCTCACGTCTTTGTAGATGCGTGACAGATTTTGTAGCACGTAGTTTGTTGTGCAGGAGGATCCCGAATCGCGCCTGCTACTGCATTCAACACCCGGTGAATGGTGTCCTCTTGGTTGAGGCACGCTGAAGGCCGAGCAGTGTTTACTCTGCTTCACCAGCGAGGACGACGAGGATGAAGGACCGCTGGAGTTACCTACAGACAATGACCTTTGTAGAGGCTTCTCGTCTGGAGCGACTGCTCCACTTTGGTGAATTAACTGCTCACTAGATGGAGGCGTATCTTTTCCCAACTTTCGATCCCAAATATGTCCCGATACACGCAGGTCTATGAAGAAGTGTAAGGGGTCAATTCCATAAGGGGGTTGTGGAGGAAGAGGGTACAGTGGCGGATACCACAGCGGAGGAGGAGGCGGAAGCAACATGTCTGGAGGTAGTGACGTGTCTGGAGATGGAAGGGGGAGAAGTCCGCACGGTGGAAGAAGCAATGGAGGCGGTGGTGGTGGAAGAGTGGGAGGTGACGAAGGGGGAGCGGGAGATTTCTCCTCCTGTGGAGGCGGAAGTGGTGGTGGAGGCTGAGGATGTCCTCTGGACGTAGTAGTTAGTTCCAGAGGCTTGTCTAGTGTCGGTCCTAGCACGGATGGCGGTTTCGTCCTCTCCGTACTGGCTTCTCTCCACGAACGTTTCCTACTGCGCCGTTGCTGAGCCGCTACCACGGAGGATCCGCGCACGGCAGAAGATTGCCCACTACTGCCTTCCGTCTTGGCCTGTACGAAACTACGCAGCATCTCGCTGAAGAAGAAACTGTGCGGAACGAGTGGCATGTTATACAAGTACGGCGGTGTGGCGGCCAGGAGACGTGATACCAGGTCCCCGTTCCGGTAATCCAGCGGCGACTGCAGCCGTGGCTTACTTCCGATGGTGGGCACCGCTTCCTGGGTCGGGGACTGTTGAGGAGATCCCACGTCGCCCGCAGAACTCATCCTGCAACAAGGGATACACCACTGGGTACAATAAAATATGTGTGATTAAGTAACAAAAAGTTGGAAAAATCTTAATAAAAAGGATGTTTATAATTTCTTCTGTTCACGAAACATTATTCGGGTGATTCGCTGAGCGGGTCTTATGGGACGAGCAGAAGAATTTTGGTCAGTAAACACGAGGGAAAAACACCATTTTGAAAATGCAGTTGTAGATTGGAGGATAACAGAAATGTTTCTCCAAGAAATAGGAAACAAAAAATTTTGACTAGACTTGTTTGCTGACAGAATCTTCTGAAGATGGTAATGAATGTTCGGGTTACTTAAAAGGCTAAAAATTTCTCGACTCGCTGAACAACCATTGGCCTGTCGGGTATTACTGTGGTTATCGAGTTAGTTCTAGCGCTAATTTTTGTTAAAGATTTCTAGGTTTGCTGTCTAAGTGCAGGAATACAAGACAGATGTTTCCTGCGCTGAAATTAAATGTTAATTTCATTGAAATTACTGAACAAGGCTCGACTAAGTGCGTATTTTTCAAGAGTGCCAAATAACATGGTTTTCGTTATGCCTCCTTTGAAGCAGAAGTGACAGAAAAAATAAAAAGTGGAGGGAGAATGGTAACAGACACTACATTTGACACCTGTATATTTATTTATTTATTTACAGTTTATTTAACGACGCTATCAGTATGTAGGCTGTATAGTTTTGGATGATAGGTTGCCAGTGAGTAACGAATTGGAAAGGGTTGTGAAAGAAACCAGTCATGGTCTAATTTCAAGTACTATCCCGGCATTTGCCTGGGGAGACTGAGGAAAACCTCAGTCAGGATAGCCGGTTTCCGGGCCAGATTTTATCCCGGGATCTTCCAAGTAAGAAGCAGGAGAGCTAACAACTATTTAAGACGTCCAATAACCCCGGTATAGAAAGAAGTTTTCAGGCACGAAAGTTCCTGATACGTCCTTCGCGAATAGAAGGTAAGAAGTTCGGAATTGAAGGCAGGGAGATGAGAGGAGAAGCAAAGCAATGCAGCTGAGCAAGGTCTCACTACATTTGATCGGAATTTTTGATTTATATATTAAACTTAAGAAGAAAGTATTTTGTGCAATGTTATGTTAGCATGCGGGTGGGGCACTTTAAGGCGATATTTTCAGGTTAACATTGTGAAGGTTGTATGAGAAGCGTGGAGTTCAATACCAAACTTTGGTACCATCTCAGCATTTACTCTAAGGGCGAAGAAAACATTCTAAATCAGGGTGATATAACTTTATTCCTCCCTCGGGCTAAGAATAGTTTTTACATTGGACACAAGGGCTAACATAATCTTCCTGATTTTGTTTTTAAATACTAATAGTCAATTTTCAATGTCTCTTAGGATACTTATTGAGAAAAAATAAATTGTCACCGTATATGCTCAAATATAAATCTTATGGAAATGTGCACAAATTATTATCCGAGAGTTATCTTCCTTTTAAAGCTTTTTCCTGAAACAGTTTGTACCTTGTCACCATTGTAATTGAAAGGGTAGAATTCTGTATTCATAATTAGTATTTTAGTCCTACTACTTTTAGTTTAGAATTCAGATTTTAACTTCAGCTGTGTAGTCTGGTAGAAGCTTACCGACGTTTCAGAGGCGCTTGCTTCCTCAATCATTAGGGGGATACGTTCTGATGATGGAGACAACAATCATGTCTGAAACGTCGGTAAACTTGCACCTGATTTCCATCAGGAATTTGTTGACTACATCCACTTCCTCAAGCACGGTCACTGCAAATTCCTTACCGGGTACCTTATCATCTGGCATAATGCTTGCACCACTTGCAACTTGTAAGCGAAGAGACACAAACCTTATAAAACAATATCCTGCTGGGTGAGTTACAAAACACTGAATAAAAAACGCAGCTGTCAACTGTAAACCAATCAAATAACATTCTGGTTTATTGCCACTATGGAGAAGGTACAATATATTAGCTACTGAATGTTTTGTTGGCTTCTCAATTCCTTCTGTGATGGAGAAAAGGCAATTCATATAATTGGGCGCGTTTCATTAAATGCTTCGTTAAATATTTGCGTTCTAAAAAAAGTGGCAGCACGCAATGATTAATAACGATCAGATATAGTGGATAAATTTCAGAACGAACTTTCAATATCAGCTGTCACCATAATCCTTCCAATCATACCGGCAAGGACAATAAAACAAATAGTCTCTTCAGCACTTTTGGAAAATATACCCAAAATATTAACATTTACTTACAATTAAAATTGAAATATCATTCTTGTATTTTAATTCCGGAAAGACTAAAATTAACTGAGAATAGAATATAATAGATTGCATTGGTTATGAGTGATAGTCGTGACTTAGATAAAAATCTCATTCCTAATTAGAACAAAAGAATGTTGAACGATAAAAATTAAATTTGCATAATGCGATGATTTTTCCAGACTTCAAACCAACTGTTTTAACATAACGACATTTAGAGTACTTCAAATTAGTCACGTGCGCAATGTGTTCAGAATACCTCTTCAAAGAGGGAAATGACAAAGACTCTTTACATACCTACCCCACATTCGATGTAGAGCCAAAGAGAATCTGCATCTAAATCTGACAAACACTGCGGCATTCTTAACTTCTCGAAGGAGATTAAGAAAGACAAGTCTTGCTGTGGTTTTCAAAAGCAGGAGAATAAAGTCATTCCTTAAAAAACATGGGGAGTTTCTTAAAAGACTTTATGCATTATATAGTTCTGAGCTTTTGTTGAGATCGTCAAACTAATAAGCTTTCCAAAAGTCCGGAATAAGTAGCCTTCTAATTACAGCTCCATTCTTACACAGCATGTCGCCACCAGCTAGTTAACCACAGAGCTGCACTCTATAGCATTGGCTGTATGGACAGATTATGTACCACATTTTGACGTACGAAAATCTCCCAGCGCGCAATTAAACAATCAAGCAGATTAGGAGAAATTCAGTGTAATAAGACGAATAGTTTCTCTTTGTCTTCAATACAATGCACCGTTCCAGAATTTGTAGGCATCTTGTTTTAAGTAACAGTCATGTACAACGTTTTCACACGCATATAATTTCCATTGTTCGCGAATTTTATTCTTACCCATATTAGATATGTAAAGTGTCCCACCTGACTAAGCTTATACAAATGATAGTTGCTCAGCTGGTCGTCAAATTTATCGATTATTACAAGGGAAAGTTTTATTGTCGTTGAATCCATTTTATACTTTCATACCCTGTTCTTTAAGATTCCTCTTTATAATATCAACTCATCTACTTCTAGATCTACAAACTGGTGTCGACTTGTCAGATACCCTACAAAAATACTGTGGACAGTGTTATTTATTTGTTCGCGCCATCAATACAAAGTCTGGTGCAGAGTTTGAAATGTGAAGTTCCTTATTATGTGAATATCTGTTGTGTTTTCTCTTTTAGGTCCAAATATTCTCTTTGGCACTTTCTATTTATACACTTCCAATCTTGTACTATCTCTTGGGTGAGAGATTCACACTCATATAAAATATTGTAGTGAATTATTTTTAGTTAACATATTGTAAATTAGGAATGTAGAGAATTAAATGCAAATTTTGAGAGTCAGAAAAGTACAGACGTCAGCATATCATGCAATGGGAAATGGAATGGTGGAACGTTTTCATAGATCCCTCCATGATGGTCTCTCACACTACATAGATGCAACAAGATTTAGCCCCTTTTATTTGCTGCACAGCAGAGAAATGAAATTACCCACCCAGGACGATCTGCAAGCTAAATTACCAGAGGAATTACAAAACTCTGAGCACGCGACTAGGTTAGAGAACTTAAAATTTAGTTTAAAAAAGGCATATGAAGTCGTGAAGGAAAATAACCGGAAGTCTCATGAGAAAAATAAAGAAAACTATGACAAAAAGGCTAAAGAAAGACACTTTCAAATTGGTGATGTGGTGTATTTGTTTTGCCCAGCTAAGAAACCTGGAAAATGTCAGAAATTCAAGAGAGTTTGGCAAGGCCCGTACAAAATTATAGCAAAACTATCCAGCCTTAATTATAGAATAATCGACAAAAAGGGGAAGCAAAGTGTTGTGCATGTGAATCGACTCAAGAAGTCCCACCCAGGACGATCTGCAAGCTAAATTACCAGAGGAATTACAAAACTCTGAGCACGCGACGCGTTGAGTGAGGAGGCTCGCGAACCCCAGGGTACAGACGATTCACGTCAGCCAGTTACTCTCGGGCCAGCACAGCCTCAGTGCACGGAGACCCCAGTCGCACGCAGAGCACCAATGTCGGAAAATTTTGACTCAACTAGGCGGGATCCAAACTATGAACCTTCTAGTTCGCCTCGTTCGAGATGCGAATTAGAGACGACACCTCAAGGACCCCCACTTACGAGAAACCGCGCTAGACTGCAACAACTAGGTGAACGAACATTAGTCCAGAGACAGGACACTGGCCACTAACAAAGTAAACACAAACACGTGGGATTGACAGCTGATGGAAGACGTTATGAGGCAACAGTAGTTAGAACGATTTTTTTTGTTTATATGTTACAGGAATGGTGATGATAATAAGAGGGCGCACTATCACAGTTACTGACCTAAAGCACAACACGCTCTTCATCAAACAGAAAGACGTGATTTTGACCAATGACGAGTGGAAGATAGTGGTAAACATTGATTTGGCAATCTACGAGGAGCTATTAACCAAGTTGAAAGATGACTTGCACCAAACACATATAACCAGTACCAATTTTGCACCTATTCAGGAACTAAAACAAATAGAAAAGTTGCTAAATGAATTGGAAAATGAAATAAATTCGTTTAGAGGAATTTTGCCCCGTTTGGATAAGAGACGAGCATT